GTACGCAATCGAGTGATTAACAGGCTCGATATTGACTTTTATGAGATGGATATCTCAATATGCAGTCAAGTGATAACATATGTATCATCAGTTGTTAACACGGCCTAATCTCTTTCAGAGGGCTAAAATGGCTAAGTTGATATGCGGCCTCATGGTCTCGACTCTTGTGCTACACGACACTTTATGAAATAGAAATAATTATCTGCTTAATAAACACGGTTGCAAATTTCGACCTGCGACCAACTGGAGTTCTATCCATAAGATGATCAGTTGGTGGTTCGGTGGCCAATGCCAAAGCTCCCAGTGTATCCATGATGAGATTAACCCAGAGAAGCTGCACTCAATAAAAGACGGATCATTAGCGTACGCTCCAAGTTAGGATTTTCATTATTCAAACATATACAAGTTTCCATTCTAGTTAGAGATACCATACTTTTAGCTTCACAACTTACTTACTCTTTTAAAGCAGTGAAGAGAGAGAGAGAGAGAGAGAGAGAGAGAGAGAGAGAGAGAGAGAGAGAGAGAGAGAGAACCTGCACTGTATTCAAAGGAACATCACCCGAAGAAATTGCAGCAACTACATTAATTACAAGAGCTGCAACGTTAACAGTGAGCTGGAACTGGATAAATTTCTGTATATTAGCATATACAGAACGTCCCCAGCGAACAACCTACAAGTAAAAAAAAGGAAAATATGTAAGCACGGGAAGAACTAAGAGAGATACTTCAACGATCTCGGAGCATATGTTACAGGATCATGGCATATTTTGGGAAACAAAATGTCCCTCAATGCTAACCTTCACAACTGAAGCAAAATTGTCATCCAAGATAATGATGTCTGAGCTTTCTTTTGCAACTTCAGTTCCTTGTATGCCCATGGAAAGACCTATATCAGCCTACAAATAGAGAAGACGAATTAGCCACATGAATATGAAAGACAAACTATTGTGCGTGGAAAATAACTTTATCTGACTTAAAACAAATTCCAATACCAGTAAAAAAGACAGATGATCAGTTACCACACACCAAAAGATACCATTACACAAAAAGCCTATAGTATATAACATTATCAAAATAATAGTTCAACATATTAACCTATTGAAAAAATAAGTGTAAAGATCGATGGAATGTTGATGAAGTCTATCATTTGTAGGTTCAAGGTGACGTGTCATAGAAATGTAAATGAGAGGATATCAAACCTCATGCAATGCAGGAGCGTCATTGGTTCCATCACCAGTCACAGCAACAACGTCCCCTTGTTTACGCAGTGTTTGGACAAGTAGAAGCTTGTCAGTTGGAGAAGACCTTCCCATGACCTTTGCAAGATAAGCAGATTGTGTATAAATAGTTATTTTTAAGTGAAGTTAAGGTATTGAAGTCAGAAAGAAACTTGTTAAGACATACTGAAATATTTTGTGCAACTTGTTCTCTCTCTTTGTCAGACAATTCACGAAATTTCTTCCCTTCTATAACATAGGGTTCACTTGTGTCGGAATCTGGAGAAAGGATACCACACTCTATTGCAATTGCTTTGGCTGTCTGAATATTGTCGCCAGTTACCATCCGCACCTGATGGTGATACACACAGAGCAACCAGTCATCAGATTCTCTTTATTTTCTAGAATAATGATTTTAGTGCAATATGTATATGGTCATGTTTTAGCATCAAAAGGTTAGCAATGCTTTTCTAAAACAAAATCACATGACTAATGGTAATGCAATAGTGAAAGAAACACCATTTCTGCACCTACAATGTAAGTAATTCCTATTAAACAGGTTTTACAAAAATCAAGTTAGTAACTTATGCTGCAGTCCAAGCACAACAAATTCCGAAATGAGCTCTCAGGGAAGACCCATGCAACAAGTCCTATTTCCTTTCTAAACTATTATAGTCCCAAAGACAACATGATGAATGTATTTCACGAGCCAAAAGTTCTTTGCATATCATGCTTTGTTTCCGGATTAACTTCATCTTCTTTATACCAAAGCCAAATTTAAATGTACATTCATAGTATGTTACATCTGTATATATAAGAAGTTTTCACCATGAAAGTACCTTAACACCAGCATGCTTGCACAGTTCGACAGCTTCTCTGACACCTGGACGACAAGGATCCTGCATACAGGATATGGTTAATTTTCTAGAAGAGGTGAGTAGTTAGAAATAATGCATATGAATAACCACTTCTACAAGTGATGGAAGTACAGGCTATTATAGTAATCCCTAAAACATTCAGCTTATAGATGTGTTCAAAAGAAAAGGGAAATGAGAATTAAAATAATTGCTTATTGAGTTCACTACCTTTATACCAACAATACCCAGCAAAATCAGGTTGTCATCTGGTAAGGTCCACTGTGACAGCTCTTCTTGATCAGTAGGAACCTCATCTGCTTCACATGTTCTGTAAGCAATAGCAACGCACCTCAAGCTTCTTGCAGCCATACTATCGATAGCATCTGTGAGGAAACCCTGTAATGAAATGTGGGTTACAATTCAGCAAATATTGATGTGGGCACAGATCATGTGCCATCAGATATTTCCATTTCTACAGAAGTTGATGTGACACCAACCTTTTGCTCTTCAATGGATTGAACGGAACCGTCTGCATCAATGAACTGCGAACATGAGGCAAGAATTATTTCGGCTGCTCCCTTCCAGTGTACATGGACATTAGATCCAGTCTGCATCACATAAAAAATTCTGAAATAGTTAGTTGAACGCTAGTTTAATTAGACTTACGTGTTCGTATTATTCAAATACCATAACAACATCAAAAGGATTTTAAAGAACAGTAACTGATATAGATAAATTACCCTGCCTCTTAATGCAACCCCCCCACGCTTTTTGGTAGAATTAAAAGGAGAGGCATGGAGAACAATGGATTCTGCTTTCACGACATCAAATTTCATTCCCAACTGAAAAGTTCGATTAAATGAAGATGATCAATACTTTGACTAGTGAAAGTTGAAATGCAGATGCTTGAACAGCGAGAAAGTACCTTGACAGCCCATTGAAGGATAGCCTTTTCAGTTGGAGATCCAGAAACCTCCAGAACGCCATCCTATTTTTATTTTTTCAGAAAAAATTGAAGAAAGAAACGGCAAAAAAGAAACAGCCCAAAAGAAACGAGAGGCTCATTGTATAATATCATATCATATAGTGTATTTGCAATAATACAGAGGGCAGGGGAGACATAATTCTAAAGACGTTCACACTTCACTCTTTGAGAGTGCGCAAATTGCAGTTAAAAGGAGATGATAACTGAGGAAATTACAAATGGATCCATTATCTATTAGTTGTATATGAAGATTAAATGAACGACTCCGAGAACTTACTTCCTTAAAAGACTACCAAAACCTATTGAATTGGCTGGACTTATGCCCTACTGACCAAAGTTACAAATATTCGATGACAGAAAAAAAAAAGTACCTTAGATAAAAATACGCTGCCGGTGGTGTTTTGTGCTATTCCCTCATCTAGCAGAGAGGAAATCGTTGCATGCAACTTTGAAACATCTTCAGGAGGATCAAGCTTCGTTTTCCCAACATAAGCCTCAACTACTGTCATCTGTGTCAATATGAAGTTTCTCTCAGATAATACATATATAAGTAGACATAACTGCGCATAATTGTTAATTTTCAACAGAATTTGCAACAGAATAAAAACCTGGTTCAGGGTCAAAGTTCCAGTCTTGTCACTGCAGATGGTTGTTGCAGATCCCATAGTTTCACAGGCCGAAAGCCTGCGCACCTGAAGACCAGTTGAACAATGTCATAAAAATAACGCGTAGTGAGGAAACTGCAACACCAATTAAGTACACATATATCATGGGTAAGACGGATTGCACATACCAACGCCTTGTCGGCCATCATCTTTTTCATGGAGTATGCTAGACTGTTGAAGATTCAAGATAAATGAAAATCAAGGAGTGACAAAAGTGTATAAGAATAATAAGACGAAGTTGATTATAAGCATTTGATGATACTTACGTCAAGGTTACAGCCAAAGGAAGCCCTTCTGGGACTGCAACAACCACTATTGTGACCTAAATAAGACTTCAGTCAAAGAAGAGAAAAGGACAATCTACATGTATTCCATTTTTCATTTCCAAATGTTGAAACTTACAGCAGCTGTTATGATATGTATAACTCCATCAACTATCTGACTGACGCTGGTAGTTCCACGAATAAACTGAGCAGATCCATCAGGATTCTTTGAAGTCCCAGTGAAAAACCTGAGGTACTTAAACATTGGTAAAATTGAAATTTGGTATGTGATCGTGTAACAGCACAAGGAACGGTGCCCAAATTACCTTGCCAAGAGAACAACAAGCACCAAAAGAGCCACGGAGAGCCCAACGATGCCTATAAAAGTTGCAACACCATTCAGGCGCACCTACAACATAAATCATGATAGGTAATTAGTTTATTTCATGTCACAAAGAATGACCAGAAGAAATAATTATTCAGTGAGTACCTGCAAAGGAGTTTCTTCACCAGTATCTTCTGAAATACTAGCCATCAACAGCCCCCATTCAGTATTGATTCCCACGCCAGTCACCTAAAAAGGATTTCATGCATAATATACTAAAAAAAGGAACAGATCTGGCAAAAAAAATTTACTGCAACTGCAACCCAAAATGACAGCAGAACCATTCAGCTCAATATTCTAGAGAATAACTCCAATAATGTTTTTCCAAATTTGAGGCAGCATGATTCCATATTTTGCATATATGCTGATATGGACAAATAATCGCAACTTAGACTCAACTACAATTGCAACTACTGTAGATCAAAACACTCAGATGACTAATTTTGAATCAGCTGTTAATTACAGTTCATTAAGACAATGCCTTTGAATCAGAAAAGAAAAAAATTCGTACAATAGTGTATATTATCTAGGAATTCATTGTACTAGTACAATCAATTAATGAAGGAGAACAAAAAAATTGCTATCTTACCAGCATGGTTCCAGCACCATCTGCTACCTTGCATCCTGACATCAGAAATGGGGATTTGTGGTCCTTGTGAACCTACATAATGACATTATGTCTGAGGAATATAAAATCTGTAATCCAATTTAACCATCAAAATAAGATGTAACCAGCTTACAATCTTGCTTTCCCCAGTCATGCTTGATTCATCAATGGCAAGAGAATGACCACTCATCAAGATTCCATCGGCAGGAACCTGTGAAAAATACACCATATGACTTTGACGCATAGATTATTATACATAGCCCACAAAAGCAACTCTATAAGATCATTTATTACCTGATCACCTATCTGGAGTGGTAAGACATCCCCTACCACGATCTCATATATGGAGATCTTGTCTCTTCTACCACCTCTGATCACCTATGTGTATATATGCCATGAGGGTATTTAAATTATCAATCACCTTAGTCAAAACAAAACTAACAATATAGAGGTAGAAATGCATATAACCATGACCAATATTACCTCCACTTTGATGTTTCGCTTCTCCTCATTTAAATTTTGAAACTGGAGAGACTGACGGTAATCACTAGTTGCTAAAGAAACAGATACAAACAAAGAGAGACATTGCAAAAAGGTTAAGGAATACTTCATTGCAAATTTTTTCTACTGATAGTTCATCGTGGATGCAGAGGTGACTGTAATTGAGAAAACATGCTCAGCAAGCATTTGCTCCACTAACTATATGAACATAGGTCTGAAACGTACTATGTTACATGAAGATGGCATCAGTTAATTAATATATAAAGGCAGCACTGTCTTGAAAATTGTACATTAGTTTCCTTATATAAAGCTATGTCTCCTCGCACTTTTCAAATGTACTTGACAGTAATTTGAACTAACTGCATTGTAGTCATAGGTGGTCAGGCAGAACTTGATAGTAATTCTGGCAGTGACAAGATTTTTATGAAGAACAGATATCAGTTAACGGACATTGCATGGAAAAATATTAATAAATAGATACACATGAGAACAATGTGTTTTGCTTTGATCACTGGCAAATGGAAGATTTTAAGGAAAACTTCAAGTGAGGTAGTAATAAAAATAAATCTGTCCAACGGCGGTGTTGTTGGAGATAATACAGCATATATAACATGGAGATAAATGGAAAACTGTAGACTACACAAAATATTACAAACCACCCAGTAAGTCCTTACCAGTCACAAAAATAACCAGAAGAACGGCAAAGGTAATGCTTCCCCCATCATACCATCCTTCTTGCAGGCCCTGGAAAAGCAGAGTAGTTAATAAGACATGAACCAAATTATAAATAATATATCTTTCAGTAAATTGAGATGGCATTTGTTTCAAAGAAGTCTAGCAATAATGTATCTGAAAATTTTCGGTAATTTTGTATGAAACAGACAAAAAACAAATCGAGAAAGTGTTGTATCGCTAGAGTACCTCTGTTTTTATTCCAAGAGCCAACGACGCCACAGCAGCTATGATTAGAATAATAAGGGTCAAATCCTGCCATGCTTCCCATAGGAACCTCTGCAGAGCATCATCGAATGTCAAAGAAACCAGCATAGGTAGGTACATCTGCAGAGTATCATCAAATTTAAAAGAAGCTAGCATAGACTTGGTAACAAAATAATTAATACCAAGAAACTGCGACCCTTTTTCACTGGATACGTATTTGACCCAAAGGCATTCCTTCTTTGTGATAGCTCATTGTCATCACCAGAAATCCCTGTTTCAGCGTCTGTTTTCAGCATATCCGCAATACCTTTAACCTGAAAATGTGTTATCAAGAGCAATTTATTTGCACCACTCATGTCATGAAACCTCCAAAAAGATGTGAAGGAAAAAGCCATACCCCTCCATATTGTTGTAGAGCAGAAATATTATGATCCCTGTTCATTGAAGCAAGTTGTTCGAGTCCAATAGCATAACCTCCATTAGGAGATGGAGGAATTGCTGCAGTGCCTAACACTGAATCAACCAACATAAATCATGTCTCTTGCATGTAGAAGATTAGCAGATTCTGTACAAAACTTATCAAACAGCAATTAAAGAAAAAGGCCAAATAGTGAAAAACCAAACCAAGAGAATTCATAATTTCTCAAAACAAAACCAAAAAAAAAAAGAAAAAAAAAAAGAATATGAGAAACAAGAGTTGAAGGACAAAAATGTTATCGCACACATATATCCATAAGGAACATGAACCCAAAAGTCACAATTCGACAACAAACTTGGGCGGCACACTAGTAAAGGAAACTGTTGCTAGAGTGACAACAAAAATATAAGATGGCACTTTTTCAATCATATTGATCTACCATATTTATCACAGTCGACAGCAGTCAGTAATTAATGTAAAGTGAAGAACATAAGATTTAAATCGTGGAGCAATTAATTCAGACGCCTGAAGTACCATATAATATTAGACTTCCTAAGCATTAAGATTGTACTGTCCTGGTGTCCATCATGAATCCAGCAATGGTAAAAAGAAGGATGATCAGTTATAATTACATATAGATAACTGCAGGCAGTCACCGGTTATCAATGAGCAATTAACCTATTATCTTTGGATACAAAACGTTTCTTTATCATACTGTAACTTTCTATCAAAAGTGTGATCTAGCCATCTAGGTATAATATGAAATTAAGTCTACACTCTCTGAGCATTTTCAGCTTAAGGGATTGTTTATGTAATTGAAGAAGAAAAAAAAAACATAATATAAGAGAAAACCATCACATCCTCGAGAACAAAAGAGTAAGAGAAGCAAATACCAATTGCTCGCTGTCCTGCCAACTTGAAGAGCAATGCAGCCTGCAATAAATATAACAAAGCATTTAATAATTGAAAAAAGAATTTTATGCTAATCAAAGCCATTGTGTTCTAGTATTACCCTTATGACTTGAGCATGTGCTCTAATCATCCTTCTTCTTTTTTCTTGCTCTTCCGCTTTTTTCAAGTCCAATGTGTAGCGGAACCGCCGGGAAGCATTAAGCACAAGGGCCGCTTGCTGTGAGGGTTCAAAGTTTCGACAATTAGGAAAAGGTGCTTGGTGTAGGTTGAGAACCAACCGATAAAAGCATTATCACATTTAACTCTTCAGGAGTCTACAACTCGACAGGTGCACACAAACGAAAATCACAATCGATCATTCGAAATTCTTATGTTTTTCAAATATCGTCCCTTCAAACCTCTCAACTCAAAGGTGCTGAATATAATCCATCAAATTTGGCCAGTTGATCAATGAAATTCATAATAACGACCTCAAAGAAATTGCTTCCTGTACTAATAGAATATGAGTGTACCTCTAGGCATAGTAGCATCGTAGTGTTAGTCATTAACTACTCATAAAATCAAACAAGATTTGGTAGCTTAAAAGATGCTCAGAACCAAAAAAAGAACATGAAAGGATGACAAAATGCCCACAGAGAAGGGAAATGCCCACAGAGAAGGGAAAAAAAGGAACAAAAGAAATAACGTTGATTTGAAGTAGCCGTGCTAGAAACAACAAGCACATTCTGTAAGTGCATTTGGGAGGGGAAAACAAAGGACAATTACTGTGGAAAAGCTACATATAACATGCCAGTGAAATGTGCCTAACGGTGTGTTGCTTGTTTTGTCAAAGCTTGCGTTAAGTACATGGTGGAACTCTGCACGATAAAACAGCAATTAAATAAAATTTAAGATGGAAGTTAGAAACGCTAAATATCCCATAACTAATGAAGGTTTTACATGAGTGTGAATGAACGTTATAATCAAACTGATGATAATATCTAACTCGGAATATGAAGTAAATAGTCCGTGGACAAAGCTAACAATATCAGAGTATGTACTTGTCTCTGTGTGTGTGTGTGCATGATCGATGCGAAGGTTTATGAACCTATGAGGGTGGTTCGTAAATAGCATAACATCACAGCTTGAACTGAATGGGAAATGATCCAGTGAGTTCGTCTCTCTTTTAGTCGTAGGCTCGTAGCATATCAGATCATGCACAAAATCACCAGATAAACAAAATCACAAAATCACCAGGCCTAGGACACTTAAAATACACAAATGTAGTCCGAGATCAGATCAACAGGATTAATTTTTTCGAGTAAGCTTTTTAACCCACAGTGGAAGAAGTAGGACAAGGTCTCCTATGAAAAATATCAATGCAAATGGAAGCATGGGTCAATTGAAGTAATGCTATTGCTACTTGGTTCTTGAGCACAAAACCCATACATATCAAAATGAAGCACTAGCAATGACGCACTAGCCTTAGCCAAAAACTTTCCCAAACATATTAAGTTTTATAAGCCACTATAATATAACGCTAGATTCCTTATTCACTCATCAAACACATGTACTGCGAATTCTCTCTAAGGATTTTAGTTCCTCAACCATTTAAGTAGATGCAATACTAGTGGAAATATATGGAAGAAAAAAGGAAGCAAACAAGCACACACAAGCTCATTGATCGAAATTCAGCCATATTTAAGAGCCAAAAACGGAAATAAAAATGAATGAAAGAGACCGAACAATTAAGCAAACACAAAGACGTGCATGAAACAATAACAGGGACGTCCCAAATCAAATAAACTGCACAACAGATAAAACAGTCGACCATCCACAGATCAGCAACTAAATGCATGAAAAACAACAAACACCTTACACCCCGCACACACACGTACTCACCCTCCATCGCCGGAGCAGTTCGTGCGAGGCGTTTTTGGTGTTGCCAATGTCGAACGGATCGGAGAACTCGTCTTCTCCCTCCCATCCTCCATTGCCGTCCACAGCGGCGGTGGAGGAAGCGGCAGCCTCCAGGTCGTGGAGAGCCGATGCATCGGTACCGGTTGTCATGTCCGCGGTCGGCGAGGTGTGAGAGGGATGGCACCGCCTCTTCAACGGAGCCACCACTCCGTTAGGGCCGAGTAAAACGGCGGGGGAGGGTCGTCCCGAGCCGGAAATTCTTTCAGATCTGGTGAGACGGTTGAGATGGTAGGAGGCGCCGGAGAAAAATCGAGCCGATCAGCCGCTGATCGAAGAAATGGAGTATTAGGGTGGCGCATTGGGGTTTGTGTGGGTGTGAATTTTTGTGGCGGATGGCTGTACTATTTCCTTGCTCGGCTTTGTGAAACCTGTGAGAATCCGAATTTGCCGCCATGCCGCGAGCACCAAGGATAGAGAGTGCGTGTGAGCTATAATTCAGCACCACCGTCTTTTGGATTTCCCGTTTTCTGCAAACTTTTATTTATTTATTTTTCTTTATTTTTATTTGCGTTTTGTATGTGCTGGTTATTATCAAAGTTTTGACGAAGTTTCCCGCGTAGAAAAATTAGAATAGTCTTATCTTTTCTCATGGGAGGATTTGAGCTTGAGAATCTAGCGTATGTTTGGTAAGCCAAATAAGCTAGCTTTTAGCTTATTTGGTTAGCTTATAAGCTCCCTATTTAAAATAAGCCTTGTTTGGTAGGACGAACTTTTTTAAAAAACTCGAGCTTATTTCATAAGCTACTTTGGGTATGTTTGGTAAGCCAAATAAGCTAGCTTATAGCTTATTTGGTTAGCTTATAAGCTCCATGTTTAAAATAAGCCTCGTTTGGTAGGACGAGCTTTTTTAAAAAGCTCGAGCTTATTTCATAAGCTACTTTAGGTAGCTTTTCAAATAAGCTAGTTGAATTTTTTATTTCAGCTAGCTTATCAGTTAATTTACCAAACTATCTTTTATCATATAAGCTAGCTTTTCAGCTATAAGTCATAAGCTATAAGCTATAAGCTCAAAAATTACATATAAGCTATAAGCTAGCTTATCAGATATCAGCTAGCTTATCAGCTAGTTTTACCAAATAAACTAGTTGAATTTTTTTATTTCAGCTAGCTTATCAGCTAATTTACCAAACACCTTTTTCATATAAGCTAGCTTTTCAGCTATAAGTCATAAGCTATAAGCTATAAGCTCAAAAATTACATATAAGCTATAAGCTAGCTTATCAGCTATCAGCTAGCTTATCAGCTAATTTTACCAAACATAGCCCTAGTTAAGTATGAATTGCTTTTAGTTAGACTTTTGGTAAGCCAAATAAGCTAGTTTATAGCTTATTTGGTTAGCTTATATAAGCTCCACTGTATTAAAATAACCTCGTTTGGTAGGACGAGCTTTTTTAAAAAGCTCGACCTTATTTCATAAGCTACGTTAGGTAGCTTTTCAAATAAGCTAGTTGAATTTTTTATTACAACTAGCTTATCAGTTAATTTACCAAACACCTTTTATCATATAAACTAACTTTTCAACTATAAATCATAAGCTATAAGCTATAAGCTCAAAAATTACATATCAGCTAAGTTTACCAAACATAGCCTATAGTGACCATTGAGAACCAATTTGACGTGGCTTGAACATTTTGTTTCTTGTTTTGGATGCTCGTGGTATGTAATTAGGGAAAATGCTACGGTCCAGTTACCGAACCATTCCATCAGGGTTTATAACCGTTAAATCATTATGTAACCATCAGAGATAGTTGATCTAAGGGTTACAAATCCCGACGAAATGGTACCGTAACGGGACCGTAACATGCTAGACATAAGGAAATAGTGAGAATCAATATGATGTAGTTTGAAAATTTAGTTCTTAGTTTGGATTGCTCGTTGTATGTAATTAGACATATGGACTAGTGAGAACCGATGTGACGTGCCATGAGAAAGAATTATGTACCTAGATGATTCCAGCATGTTAGAGGTCGTGTCGAGACCGTACATACAAAATTGATTTCGGGAAAAGCTAGACAGTGCAGATTTCACATGATATTTCAGCCAGAAAGGAGGATTCAATCCAACGACATAAATAAGTTGAGTAGGAAACATAACATAGTGCCTTGAGTTACCAATATTCAACATCCTCTGCTTAAATGAGATATAAATCTTGAAAATCACAAATGTGTCATCAGCATGCAAGATACCAAACCAAAAAACAAGAAACCCAACTCTAGTAAAAAAGCAAAAGGAACAACACCAACAAAAAGATCCCATATAATCTTCCAAGTTCTAAGCAGACAGAGAAGAGAATCTCAACTTCTCAAAAATTACCAAAGTAGAAAACGGTCTCTAGTTCATCCTCCTGATGAGCTCGTTTATGTAGTCTTCACGATTTCCAGCATCTCCTCCTTCGACATAGTGATTCCTCTTCTTCTTCAGACCACCCAAAGGAGCCTTCAGTTGAAAGGGCCAAAGGAAGTTGTTAGCCTCCTTAAAATGTGGCCCCACAGTCAAGATCTCATGAATAAGATCCTCCACGCAGATAATTCCATGTTTGCCAAGGGTCTGCAAAAGAAGTTCGTGTTATGGTAAAAAAGTGGGGAAAAAATTGAAATCAAATAATATGAAAGGGGAAATTCACTGCAAGCATGCAAAAATCGACAGAACCTGTTCAATGATCGAGTTATCGGTCAAAGCAATCCGCTGCTTGTCAACCTTGCCATAGCCCCTCTTGTAGATCAATTCCTTAACGCTCTTCAAGTTGGGGTACCTGAAAGAAATAACATTCTAAGCATATAAGCTTGGTAGGTAATATTAGCTGGAAAATACTCGGCCATTACATTGGGAGATGCATGCATACCCATAAGTCACGTAGGGCTCAACCCTGTGCAGCATATTCACTGTTGCCTTGTTAACCTTTAAAAACACGCCGTTGAAAATCTGCATTTGAATATAATATATGAATTTGGATTACGTTTACGACTAAGGAATAAAAACTTCATGAATTATGACTGAAGCCAACATTAGTAATTACCAAGCCAGAAAATGAGGTATAACATCTATATGTTCAATAAACCAGTATAAGGCAGTGAAACATATTCTGTTTCATCACGGATGGCAATGAAGACATTCAAGCATGAAATGATTGATTATTTATAATTTAAACTGATAAAGCATTAGCTTATGTTATTAACTTATTACGCCAATTGGGTATAATTAAAAAACAATGAACATCAAAACCAGGAAATGTACGAAAATAACATTAATTTTTTACCTGACGAAGGCGCAACAGCTGCAAGATCTTCTTAGTCCTTGGGTGCATGGCATTAATACTGCATCAAAAAACACAAAAATATAAGCACCAAACAATATCAATCAACAAATTATCCAATCAAGTCAACTACCAAATAAAATCCAAAGACCCACCCACGAATGCGAATGATGAAAAGCAACTTAGCCTCCGGATTCACATAAAATCCTCCCTTCAGCCTTGCCTCACGCTTGAGTTGAATCAGCTCCTTCTCCTGAAGAAGGAAAATTTCAACAACGTGTAACAACAGATGCACAATTAACACACGCGGCAATAAAATATGACAGCAGCCATAACCAAAAAAACAAAAGAACTCAACAAACCTGCTCTGCGTATTCCTTGGCATATTGTTGGGCTCTGTTGAAAATCAGCTTCCTGTTTGCAGCATTTTTCTCCTTCAGGACAGCAAGCTCCTGCTTCTTGACCAAAGCCCATTCCTCATTCCTCTTCTGTTTCTTTAGAACAGACTCGGGAACAATCACTCCTCCCTTATCAGCCATTTCTATATAGAAACACAAACGATAAACGAACAAATTAATTAGAAGAAACTTTTGAACATTTTAGAGCAAACATTATCCAAAATCAGGAAAAAACACATAAATTGTGCAAATTTCACTAACGCTGAGATCCCTACGTGGGCACAAAATCAGATGCAAAATCTCATTCAAAATACCAATAAAAATTGCAGAAGAAAATAGGAAAATGGGAGTTTCAAACTCAAAGCATCCAGATCAAATACAAAATTACAAAACATACAATTAAAATCTCTAAAAAATTGAACATTTTAGCTTAAACATGTATGACTGTCAAAAAAAAAAAAAAAGACAAATTCTGCAAACTTCACCAATGCTTGAGATCACCTCCATGGGCACATAAGATGCTAAATCTCATTCAAAACACCGATTAAATTTGCATAAAATTGGGCAAAATACGTGTTTAAACACTAAACATCCAGATCAAACACACTATTTAGAAAGTTAGAGTCAAATGCAAGTAAAAATGAACCTATTACTGAGGCTACAGACGGAGAAGAAGATGAAGTGAGCTTACGGCGTCGGTTGCTAGGTATGTCGCCGCGGCTGGTCTTTTCTGAAGTCTGTACTCAAGCACAGGTTAAGAAAGGAGCTAGGGTTTTGTAGGGTTTGAGGATGGAAGATATCTAACGGC